GTTGGCCATGCTAAATTACCCATAGTGCCCAGGGATGTGCAGGTTAGGGTGGATTGGCCATGCTAAGTTGTCCTAAATACCCAGAGATGTTTGGGTTAGTCTTGGGAAATGAGGGGAATGGGTCTGGGTGGGATGCTCTTCGAAGGGGCAGTGTGGACTTGTTGGGCCGAATGGCCTGTTTTCACACACTGCAGGGATTCTATGATCCCCATGGGATCAGTTGTGATACTGAGTTACCAAACTCAGCGAAGGGAGACGTTTCAATCTGACTTTATTACGTTGCGTTGGCTGAGAGATAATTGCTTTCCTTCACCGCGAGGGAATCCACAAGCTGATCTTAAGACGTCGGAGCACAAGATGGCCATTGGGCGACACGGTGGCACAGTGGTTAGCACTGCTGCCTCACAGCGCCAGGAACCTGGGTTCGATTCCAGCCTCAGGTGACTGTCTGTGTGGAGTTTACACATTCTCCCCGTGTCTGCGTGGGTTTCCTCCGGGTGCTCCGGTTTCCTCCCCTAGTCCAAAGATGTGCAGGTTAGGGTGGATTGGCCATGCTAAATTACCCATAGTGCCCAGGGATGTGCAGGTTAGGGTGGATTGGCCATGCTAAATTGCCCATAGTGCCCAGGGATGTGCAGGTTAGGGTGGATTGGCCATGCTAAATTACCCATAATGCCCAGGGATGTGCAGGTTAGGGTGGATTGGCCATACTAAATTGTCCCATAGTGTTCAGGGAGGTAGAGGGTGTATATTAGGTGGGTCATAGGGGAATGGATCTGGGTGGGATGCCCTGAGGTTCGGTGTGGACTTGTTGGGCCGAAGGGCCTGTTTCCACACTGTAGGGATTCTAATTCTAATTCTAATTCAGCCTATCGGTCGTGTCTGTTCTGATTAATCCCAACTCCACTCTCCTGCCTTTTCCCCTTGATTCCCTTCCTGATTGCACATCTGTCTCTCTCAGCCTCGAATCTATTTAACGGCCCAGCCTCAACAGCCCTCTGCGGTTAAAAAAAAATCCCCCCCCATCCCTCCGAGAGACGGTATTCCTCCCCACCTCTGCCTTCGTCCTTTTTATTCTGAGATTGCGCCGTCTGGTCCTAGACTCTCCCACAAGGTAAAAGAGGTTTTCCACCTCTCCCTCTCTCGATTCCGCTGAAGAATCTGGTCTGTTTCGATCAGACCGTTGTAGTGATTGTAACAAGGTGGATCTCACAGAATATGAGTTCCTGATTGGGGCTGTTAACCTGGTCCGATCAGGGAGCCCTGGCTGACAGATAGAAACAGGAGTGATAGAGGGTTCTGCTCACACTGAGAGCTGGCTCTGAGGGAGCTGGGTCAGTGTCGAGGACCCTCCCCATTGTAAATAAAGGGTGACTCCAATGATACCGGCCTCTTGTGGAGTTATTTCAATCGATCCTAGTTCTTCTAACTCCAATGAGAGAGGGCCTAACCCCTTCTACGTAAGACAGTCCCTCCATCCCCGGGGTCGGCCGAGCGAACTTTCTCTGGATGACTCCAGCTCCACTTTACTTTCTCTGTCTTCCTGCTGCAATTGATGCTGTGCATATTTTTAGCCAAACCCTGAGCTCTGAATGAGACCAGGACGTTCATACAACCGAGCTGAGGTGCAGATGAGTTGCTGAGCAAGGAGCGAGGGGCCGAGAGGCCTCATCCGGTGGCTCACCCTGGGCATCTGTTGTCACTGCAGGCCCAAGCTGTTGACTGCGTGGGTCGGGGCCCATGACCTATCCACGGAGGAAAGCTCCCGGCAGTTTTCCAGGGTTATTCGAACAATCCGACACCCCGGCTACAGCCATAGAACCACCGACAATGACATCATGCTGATGAAGATTGCTCCCCCGGTAAAACTCAACGATAAAATCCAGCCTGTGCATCTGCCCAGCTCCTGTGCCAGGAATGGAAGCCATTGTCTTGTCTCCGGGTGGGGCAACACCATGCTCGATGGGGGTAAGTGTGGGTCAAGGGGGGTGGGGGGCAGGGACAGGGAGGAACGATAAGGAACAAGGTTCGTGAGGAGCTCAACTGTTGGGGGGGTGGGGGATGATAGGGCTCACAGGCAAAGCCCAGAGGGTGGTGGGTTTGTGTGAGTGAGAAACTGACCTGGTTAATTCCCCCAGTGGACCCACCAGGTAATTCCTCGGGGTACTGAGATGCTTAATTTGTCCTGGTTAATCGTCCTTGTGAACTGGTCTACGTTTACTCCCTGATGGTTGTGAAGGTTTTCGACGACCAGCTGATCGACTATAGCAGCTGCGCACCGGTGGCCGCGCTGCAGAATATTCAACGGGGCGCCTCGCGTTCTGAGTGCCGAGGTTATCCTGATCGTGTGCTGGTTTCTCCCTGAACAGAGCAGTATCCAGACCGCTTGCAATGTCTCGACGTCCCCATCCTCCCAGACCCCGAGTGTAGGGCCAGCTACGGTGATAATGTCACCCCCAACATGTTCTGTGCCGGATTCCTGGAAGGTGGAAAAGAAGCATGCCAGGTTAGCGATGTGGGAAAAGCCCTCCATATCAACGGAAACCCCTCTGGATGGAGTGCAAGGGAGAGAGGGAGGGAGAGAGAGTGTGTGTGAGAGAGAGAGAGAGGACAGTGGGAAAAGGGGGTGGGGACAGAGAAGTGCCACAGAGAGAGAAAAATAGATGGACAGAAAGGGTTGGGTTGGGTGTAGGAGATAGAGTCAGAGTGAGAGAGAGAATGGGAAAGAGGGGGAGGGGGAGAGAGAGAAAGATGGAGAGAAAGGGGGAGTGGAGATGGAGTCAGAGAGAGGGGGGGAAATGGGAAAGTCGGGGAGAGAGAAGTGACAGAGGGGGAGAGAGAGATAGATGGAGAGAAAGGGGGAGTGGAAAGGGAGGGAGGGGGGGAGGGGGGGGTAAATGGGAAAGGGAGGGGGGACAGAAGTGACAGAGAGGAAATGAAGCCTTCCATGAGGGTCTCTCTATGCATGAGATGGACAGACATAATTGGAGAGACAGAGGGAAAGACAGACAGACAGATATTCACATATATTATTTGAAATGGGGAGGGCGGCCT